GTCTACAAAATAGCCATTTGCTAAGTCCCCCGACCCTCCAAGTAGGGTTTAGGGTTTAGGGTTTAGGGTTTAGGGGTTTAGGGTTTAGGCGTTCAGGGTTTAGGGTTTAGGGTTTAGGGTTTAGGTCGCTCCAGGTCTTCCTTTACCTCAGGGCCACTGCATGTTCTTGGGTCCGGCGGAGGGCATCAGGTTCTCTGCCAAAGCCCGCAAACCTAAACCCTAAACCCCTAAACTCCTAAAGTTTAGGGTTTGGGGGTTTAGGGTTTAGGGTTTGGGGGTACCGCATAAATCCGTAAACCGTGTTCTCTGCCAAAGCCCACAAACCTAACGCCACCAAACAGGGGGGTTATGCACGCTAAGATGTTCGGAACTCCAAACCCTAAACCCTGACACATCAGGTACCTTGGAGCTTAACTGAACCCACCAGAGCGCACTTTCTTCTCATGGGGTCCCTATAACAATTCCAAGATAGCTTTTGCAATACGAACCTACAGAAAAGCAGGTTTTGGTGGGCTAAGGTAGAACTGAGAAGCTTGCTTCGATTTCCAAGGGCAAGAGTGTCAGTCAGACAAAGTCCAGTTCCCTGAGGGTTTAGGGTTTAGGGGTTTAGGGCTTAGGGTTTAGGGGTAGCAGGGGTACTACTACAGTCCAGACCCTGTCGGCTGCCTTTTCCAAGGACATTGACCGCAAAGTCACCATGAGGAATCTTAACATGCAGGTGGTTTCTTATCGTCTCCTAAGAAGCTACAAGCTTCCCCAAGCCTTGTTCTAGTTACTATGCGACCCTGAAAGGTTTAGGGCTCAGGGTTTAGCATCTTACAACAAACCGCCAGCATGCCTGGCCCCGAAGGCTTTTTGCAGATATGTCGGCAAGCGCAGTCCAGACCAACGTGCCCCTCAGCTTTTCCGTAGAGGCTACTTGGGTTCAGCGTTTAGGGTTTAGGGTCAGGGTCCAGGGTTTCGTCTTGATGTTTTGGTTTAGGGCTTCGGGTTTGTGGGCTAGGGTTTCTCGGGGGTGTAGCAGATGATATAGACTCCTAAACTCTATGTAACCGTAAACCCCTAAACCCTAAACCCTAAGCCCTAAAAACCCTAAGCCCTAATAAGTTTAGGATTTTAGGGCTGCGGGTGCTCTCCGGGCTGAGGGTTTTCTTGGAAGCTCTCCAATTGCAAAGGTCGAGAGCCTAGGGTTTAGGGCTTAGGCCTAAACCCTAAACTCTAAACCCCAAACCCTAAACCCTAAACCCTAAACCCTAAACCCTAAACCCTAAACCCTAAACCCCTTAACCCCTAACCCCTAAACCCCTAAACCCCAAACCTCAAACCCCTAAACCCTGAGCGTTTAGGGTTTTAGGGCTTATGTTCCCAGACCGCCCAGACCTTCCAAAATCCCTGAGCTAAGGACTATACCTTAAACCATTTTGGGGAATTTAGGGTTTAGGGTTTAGGGATGTTCCAACTTTACGGTTTCATTTTGGGGAACCTACCAAAATGGGTTTAGGGTTTAGGGGGTTTAGGGTTCAGGGATGTTCCAACTTCACATGGTTTTTACTTTAGGGTTTAGGGTTTAGGGTCATATTCCTTAGTCAAGGGATGTTCCAACTTCATGGTTTTTACTATACTGCGCCGGGCATGTATCCATAGGGTCATGCCCTACCCCTTTTTTAAGATACCTATTTTTTGTATAACAGATCCTAACCATGAAACTAGGTACCTTAAAAAAGGGGTAGGGTATGACCCTTTGGATATCTCTAACTCGGAAGCAGCAGCTGGATCAGCCGAGATCCCTTCCCGGAGGTGCCTCATCTATAAACTTTACCATATGGGGCCTTAATAATTACCTATATTATGTGGGGGTTCCTTATGATAGTTATAGTAAACTATACTCCAAATCCGCATTCTAATCAGTAAGGCCCCTACACATTACTTTAGTATAACCCGAAACCCTACTCTAGCTATTGAAGGCGCCTACAGAATGTAAGCCAGCGCTCCAGGATCAGCTTGAAGCCTGAAGCCTAAACCCTAAACCTCAAAACCCTAAAACCTAAACCCCAAATCCCTAAACCCTAAGCCCTAAACCCTAACAGCCTAAACCCTAAACCCTAGACCCTAAACCCTGAACCCTGAACCCTAGACCCCAGGATCAGCTTGAACGCCGCCATCACCGCTTGCACCTCGGCGGTTCTCGGAGGCGACTTTCGGTAGGAGCGACGCGGTTTGGGTGCCCTGCAAGGATCCCTACACAGGGAGCCCCAAAAGGATCCCTTAAAAGGATCCCCAGAAGGAAGCCCTAAAGGAGCCTTAAAAGGAGCCACTAAAGTAAAAAAGAAATCCGAAAAGGAGCCCTCACAGAGGAGCCCCCCAGAAGGGAGCCTAACAAACAGCCAGACAAGGACCCTCCAAGTTCTCACTGGCACGATGAGGGTTCTTCAAGGCTCTATGAGGCCTTCCTTACGGTTCTACAAGGATCTTTGAGGCTTCTCATGGCCTTGTAAGGTCCGACCTAAGGTTCTAGAAGAGTCAACCTAAACCCTGAACCGTAAGCCCCAAGAAGGTGGGGGCTTAATGGGCCTTAATAATCGGGGTACATTATACCGCAGTTATGATAAGGAGCCCCGGACATAAATAGTAAGTAGCATAGGGTTTTGAACCCTAAACCCGAAACCCTAAACCCTAAACCCTAAACCCCAACCCTTCAAAGCAAAGGTGAGCGAGGAGGTCAGTGGCGCCAAGCCCTCGCAGTGATTGCGGCTGGGGGCTCTCTGCGCGACCTGCCCGGGAAGAGGGGTTCGGTTTAGGGTTTAGGGGTTTAGGGTTTTGGGTTATGGCTTCCTTGAAGGTTTTTAGGGGTGTACGTTAACAATTGGAACAGGGTTCCTGTAAAGGTTTCTATAAGGGCTACTATAAGGGTTTAAGGTTCGAGGGCCTTAATAATTAGAACAGGGTTTTGGGGTCTATTACTAGAGCTATGATCTACAAGCAAGTGTTCAGAAGGAGAGTGTTCTTTGATCGGTCAGGGATCTGCATCATCTTGGCTTTAATTATTCCATTCTTGGTGTCACTGCTCTCAGCTTGCAGTGGCTTAATGCTGAACTCTGAAACACACATACTCTAGATGTGTTTCCCCGCAACCCGCAGAACCAAAGACCTACACCCAAAATACGAAAGCCGCGGAATACCCAACAGTCCCCACCGAGTCTCAACCCTATATCCAAAATATGAGAGCCCAGCGCCCTAAACCCTAAGCCCTAAGCCCTAAACCCTAAACCCTAAACCCTAAACCCTAAACCCTAAACCCTAAACCCCTAAACCCCTAAACCCCTAACCCTAAGCCCTAAACCTGAATCCAGCGGCCCCCCTGCTAGTCAGACTCAAGCCCGGACTCCTAAACCCGAAAAACGCTCAACCCCAAACCCAGAACTCTAAAGCCCCAAACTAACCCTAAACCCTAAACTGAAACCCTAGGAAGATATCTTAAAGTCATCTTCGGGACCCTTACTATAAATTGTAAGGTATACTCCTTCATGCCCTTATGGAACCCCTTGTAGATCTCCTCAACCTCCGAAACCCGACATCCTCGGTCCTTCAAGTCATGCTGTAGGGGCTTACACAATTACCTATACCTCTAGTCTCCATTGTAGTTCCTTTTTTTGGTTTAACCAGTTCTATATATTAAGGATCCCAAAGGGTAACCCCAAAAAGGAACTACAATGGAGACTATAGGTACTGTTGTGGGGTTCCTTATTATAAATATCGCATAATGGACCCCAAAACCCTATTCTAATTATTAAGGCCCCTACATTAACCCCCAAGGGCTCAAGGACCTAATTATCGTATTAACTCTCCAAAAGAGTAACCTACATAACTATTATCCTAAACCCCAGTACCTAGATATTGGGTCCTTTAGACACTTGGGATAATATAGGGGCCTGAACAATTACCCATACTACTCTGGGGGGTTCCTTAGTATAGTTATGCCGTCAATAGGCCCCTACATCAATCTAAATCCCTAAGAAACCACACTATTCTAATTATCATATACCCTCCAAAACCGTAGCCTGCACCCTTATATAGCCCCTTCAAGGAACCCTTTAAAGGAACCCGAAAATCCCTCAGAAACCGAAGGGCTCCTAAACCCTAGACCCTAAACCCTAAACCCTAAACCCTAAACCCTAAACCCTAAACCCTAGACCCTAAACCCTAAACCCTAAACCCCCCCTAAGAAAACCGAAGGACTGAGCCTCAACACGATCTCTCTCAACTCAGCTTTGGGAGCTTTCGAGGCCGGTGCCGCGTACCTCAGGAGATCGACCCAAAGTGCCTTTTAGGGTTTAGGGTTTAGGGTTCAGGGTGTAGGGTTAAGAACCCAAAACCAACTTTTTTTTAGGTTCTTATTATAAGCCCTAATATGGGATTTGTAGGGACCCTACAAAAAAGGTAGGTTTGGGGTTCTTAAGGTAAATCCTCAACCCACTAAACCCCTCAACCCCTCAACCCTAAACCCTAAACGCTTCCCTAGCCACCCCCCTCTCCCCCCCAAACAAAAAGCATGTAGGTAAAGTAATTTCCCGAGACCTGTGGAAAGCTATTATTCTACATACTATAGGCATGATCAAATTATGGTCCCTTTTTGGGATCCTTATTATAATACGGCACCTATTTTTTAGGGCACCCCAAACGGGACCATATATAATTTTGACAACTACCCATATGGGCACAAGTAACTCCCAATACTATTGTGGGCGGTTCTTTATTATGATTGTAGTATATATATATATATAGGGGTTTAGGCTTTAGGGTGTAGGGTTTAGGGTTTAGGGTGTAGGGTATTGGATCTTGGGTTTAGCACTTTCGGGACGTGGGTTTAGGGGGTTGTTTGCTGGTGCTTTGGGGGTGTTGGGTATTGCATCTTGGGTCTGCGGTCGGAAGGTTTGTGGCGTCGTGTGGCAGTGTTGGTGCTTGTATTGGGTAAACTTAAACCATGTTAAGTCTAAAACCTAAAACCCTAAAACCTGAAATCCTAAAGCTAACCCTAAACCCTAAACCCTAAAACCCTAAACCCTAAAACCCTAAACCCTACAACCCTAGACCCTGGAGACCAAAACCGCAGGCGACTGGTCCCTGGAGCCAAACCCTGCGGTGGCCACTGGTCTTTCACGAGGGTTTCAGGGTTTAGGGTTTTAGGGTTTAGGGTTTTAGGGTTTAGGGTTTAGGGTTTAGGGGCTCTTTTCCAGCTTTCCACCGATGCCGCGGTGTCGTGCCCGACATGGTGGTGACACCCTGAAAACTAGATCCTTAAATCTTGAGTTCCTACGCCCAAACGCCTCAAACCGCAAGCCCTCAAGTAGAGAAACGTGCAGGGTATGCCCATCCGAGGCCTCCGTGCGTATATCGCTGCCTCATCTCGTCATGGCTTGTTTTGCTTTTCTGATTTGTGAGTGTACATTGTTGGCGTTACTATCTAGCACAGTGCAATAAACACCCTACCTCAATGCTCAACTTATGCATACTGCGAATCGTGGCCGGGAACATCACGGGAGAACAAAATTGACACATTCTAGCTCCAAATAGTACATAGTCTGGCCCCCAAAGTACTTAAATAGGGGCTACTCTCAGACCAAAGCATACACTATTGGGTACATGGACCCTGAGGAGTTTCACTGATGACATGAGGCACCCCCAACTGGAGCCCTGGGGGTTTAGGGTTTGGGTTGGGAATCCTTGTGCTGTACGGACCCTCCCTTGTAGAGCCCCTATGTGGGGGTTTCCGAAATAGGGGACCCTAATATAGTACCCTAAATAGTAGGATCCCTATTATAAGAACCCCCAAATGAGGTACCCCTTATTTTCGGAAACTCCCATGTAGAGCCTTACTTGATGGCAGGGTCATGGGAGGATGATACAGCAGGGTAGCTGTACTTGTAACTACCTATTCTGACGATGCAGGTACCTCTCACCTTAGTTGTTGGCAAGGTACCATGGCCCTAAACCCTAAACCCCTAAACCCCTAAACCCAAAGCTCAACCCTGAAACCCCTAAGCCCAAACCCTAAAGCCTATCACCCTACAACTCCAAAAACCCACCACAAGTATCATAGAACCCCTGTGGACCCGTCTTATTTTGAGCCCTACAGCCCACCAAAAAAAGCCAATAAAACTAGTAGAGCCCATATAGAGCACCCCTCTTTCCGAGGCACCTTCCCAAAGGGTCCTGTGTACGTTTGTGGCTTCCTTTAAGAGTTTAGGGTTCCCTCAAAAAGGTTCCTCAAATTGAGGGCTTAAAGTGCTCAGAAATGGGGGATACTTCCCCAACTCATAATAGCAATTCCGAATATAGGACCCCAACATTCCACTATATACGTACATAGGGATCCGTTGGGCTTTTGAAGGCCCCTACACCCTAAACCCTAAACTCTAAACCCTAAGCCCTAAACCCTAAACCCTCAACTCTAAACCCTAAACTCTAAACCCTGAACCCTAAACCGACTTAGGGATCTTTCGGGCTTTGAAAGGCCCCCTAAACTCGAGACCTCAGGCTCTTAGCGATGCCTAGTGCTCGAGTTCCCGCGGACGCCCTGAGCCGAAGCTTTGGCGTCAGGGCCGCAGCACCTCGGACGGTTTAGGGTTTAGGGTTTAGGGTTTAGGGTTTAGGGTGATACTATAGCAGACCCCGAAACGCTGGTCTTACTACAGCTATATGAAACCCTTATAGCAACCTTCTCTGTACCCCCTTTGCGGAACCCCTTTGCTAATTCTTACAGCCCCTAGACTACTACTGCAGTCTGTTTGACAGTAGGGACCTCAGAAACTAGAATAGGGTTTTTGAATACATGTGTATATATATATATATATTCTAAGATGACCATGAGTGAAGAAAGAGAGCCCTGCAATGAATGACATTTCCAATTCTTTCCAAGCCCTAGAAAGTCCGATAATTGTAATGAAACGGGATAAAAAATACTCCGCATGCCTACGTAGGGACAACGAGACTTTTCGGCACTCCGCTACTGTATGCTAACTAGACAATACTACCAGTAGCCCGAAACTGTCGGCCCGGGGATGTCTAAAGGACGGTAGACCCGAAAAGTGCTAGGTTATTGACATTGAGTTACGAACTACTTACCTGGGGACATCGGGTGTAAGGAGCGCTAGCCCACGAAATGGAGATAATGGTGCTATTTTAGTAGGCCTACCCCAGATTTTCGAAACTCCCCGGTTTAAGGAATCGATCACAAACGATCCTCCAAGACCATCCCTATCGGGGTTTTGGGGGGCTCAATCCATAATGGTAGCATATGTGGAGTCTCTGAGTAATATGAAAAGAAGTAAGTCTTCCTTACGTAAAGGATTTTTGCCAGATCTGAGACCTTGTGAGTATACGCTAGGGTCGTAGTGCTTTTTCGGTGGTATGGGGCAGAGTTTCGAACTTTGGGTGTAGGGATTTGCCCTAAGTGTCCTGATACTTTTAGGAGCCTCAGGACTAGGACCCAAAGAAACTTGGGGCGTAGAGTTTAAGGGTACTTGCTTGGAGTCTCAACAGACTTAGGAAGCAGGCTGGTTACACCCTTAAAGGAGCCCTAAACCCCAAACCCTAAACCCAGGAGCCCTTGAAGGAACCTTAAATGGAACTTTTTAGAGGAACCCCTCTGGAAGCCCTGCAAGGAACCCTTTTCGAAGCCCCTTGAGGGAACCCTTCAGAAAGCTCCTGGGGTTTAGGGTTTAGGGTTTAAGGTATAGGGTTTAGGGTTTAAGGTTTAGGGTTTAGGGCTTAGGACTTAGGGTTTAGGGCCCTTAAAGGAAGCAAAAAGCAGGCGAGAGCTGGCTTTCCACGGGTTGCCACGGAGCTCATCGAAGCCGCAGCTCTCCCGGCGATGGACATCTTGAGACGAAGGCGGCTTTCCGCTTTTAAAGCCTGCTATGGGGTTTAGGGCTTAGGGTTTGGGGTTTAGGGGCTTAGGGGTTTAGGGGTTAGGGGTTTGGGTTTGGGGTTTAGTTTTTGGGGTTTGGGGTTTAGGGTCTGGCATTTGGGGTTTAGGGTTTAGGGTTTGGGGTTTAGGGGTGTTTCTTTAAGGGTTCCTTTTAGGATTCCTTTACGGGTTTTTTCAAGGGTTCCTTTAAGGGTTTCAAAGTTCCTCGAAGGGCTCCAATAAGAGTTTAAGGGGCTTTCGCCAGTAGTCTAGGGTCCCCATAAAAGGGCTCCTATAAGGCTCCGATGTAGGGGTGCAAGAGGGGTTTAGGGTTTCTGAGCTCAGTGGTTTTTTTAAGTAAAGAACAGCTCGGAGTTCACCGTTTGCATGCAACACCGCAGAACCCTGTTCATTCAGATTTATAGCCACAGCCCTGAACCTTAAACCTTAAACCCTAACTCTGAACCCCACACCCTGAACTCTAAAGCCCCAAGTGCTCAACGCCGGACCCTTGTACCCAAATTCCTCGACCGCCGAGACCGCTCAATGTCTGACTACACAGCACCCAGAGGGTTCGGGGTTTAAGGTTTAGGGGTTAGGGTAGAGCCCAGTCGACCGGAACCAGCCTGTGAAGGAACCCTTGCAGCCCCAACCCCAGCCACTAAACTCCCTAAGCCGTCGCCCCTGAAAGCTAAAACCCTAAACCCTAAACCCTACAAGCTAAAGCCCTAAACCCTAAAAGAAAAAGCGTGAACCCCAAACCCTAAAAAACTACGACTCTATATATCCTGAAGCTTTCTGGATTCCAACTAATTACCCTGAAGCCCTAAAACCGCGCAGGTCAGAAGAGCCTTCTGCCACCGGCTGAAGCGACCCACGTCCCTCAACGTCTCCCACCAGGAGGAAGGCCAGGGGGAGCTGTGGGGTTGACGTTTTTTGATGGTGTTTAGGGTTTGCGGTCTGGTGTTTAGGGTTTAGGTTGTTTCGGGTTTTCAGGAGCTTGACGGTTTTCGGGTGTTCAGGGTTTTTTGGGTTCAACGGTTTAACTTTTATCCAGTGCGTTTGTGGTGTTCGAGTTTTCAGGGGTTTTGAGTGTTTCCTTCGATTCTGCAGCTGTGAGCCCTAAACCTGCAACCTTTAACACCAAAACTTCCAAACTCTAAACCTTTAGGTTAGGGTTCTGCGATTCAGGGTTCAGGGCTGTGGGACCCGTTCGGGAGTTTTATCTACCAGCACCCGCCCAGGGCACTTCTTCATGGAGCCCTTGTGGTCCTTCCTAAGTTTGGGTATAGTAGGGGCTAATAGAGCCACTGTGGTCCTTAGTAGTTCAGCCATGTAGGGTTCCCTAAACCCTAAACCCTAAACCGTGGGTTTAGGGCTTTGAGACGGTCTGGAGTTTAGGAGCTTCTCCTTTGTCAGGCTTGGTCAGGGGTTCAGTTGGAGTTTCGGGTTCGGCGGGTTTAGGAGTTTGGCTGTAAAAAGGGTTTGGGGTTTAAGGGGTTCTTTGGTTTTGCTTTTTTGTTTAAGGGGTTCTTTGTTTTTGTTTCCAGGGTTTGTAGGGTCTAGTCTCTTCGGTTTCGGATGGAGGTGCTTCTGTAGCAGGTGCAGCCCTGAACCCTCAGCCCATGCCGAAGGCCCTGAACCTATAGAATCTTACTATAGAAGCTTAAAGCAATACCGATGGACACAATGCTTGGTTGGGCTGCGGACATACAAGGGTGGGCCGTTCTAGGGCGCCATGAATTATAGTTATATAGAACCCTAAACCCTAAACCCTAAACCCTAAACCCTAAATAGGGCGTGATTACATTACGGCCCCTTCTGGAGGATCCGGAAGATCCAGACCTTTTCTAAAAGAAACATTTAGGGCTTAAGGGCTTGAGGAATAGGGTGTAGGGTTTAGAGGGCTTGGGGATCAGGGTTACGGGTTTAGGGCCTAAAGATTACAAGCTCTTTAGGGTTTAGGGCCTAGGGATTAGAGCTTATAGGGTTTAGGGTTTAAGGTACCTTCTTCGAACAAGCAACCTTCTCACTGGTGATCTGAGGTGCGAAACCGCCCAGCCCAAATAACTCAGAAGACCTGGAACCTCAGCCCTACAAGCCGATTGCCCTACATTCTACTTAAAAGCCCATGGTCTAGGAGCGGCTTCGTATGCTTTCAACTCGCTCTTGCGCTTCAAGCCGTCCGTCGCGACCATGACGGAAGACGGCAGCTGGGGCGTGCAGCAGGCAGGTTTATCTAGGGTTCTAGGTTTTACAAAGACCCTTTTATAAGGGTGCCGTACTATATTGGGGACCTAAAAGGGGCCCATTTAGAGAACTACCCATATGGGTTTGACTATTAACTTTCGGATCTTATTTGAGGGTCCTGTTGATAAGAGTCGTTTGATCGCCGGTTGGATCGGGGCTGTCCTTGCTCACTTGAGCATCTAAAGCGCCTGTAAGCCCGCTGAGTATCAAGATGGATCATCATGGGGACCGCTAAAACCTAAACCCTAAAATTCGGACCCCTTGAAGATGTGCAACTCCCCATCAGGCCCCCTCTACGCCTCGTACGCCTTCTGAGCCCCAGAGAAGCTTTAGGAAGCCTTCGGTAGCCATGGTGGAGCTTGAGAAAAGCTTGTTTTCAGAGTTTAGGGTTTAGAGTTGAGGGATTTTTGGGGGTTTTTAGCGCTTATAAACCCTAAAACCCGAAACTTCCCTGAGCCCTAAACCCTGAATCGTTGCAAAGGCCCTTCAACCCTTCCGACTGAACCTTTCAACCCCAAGCCCTAAACCTTAAACCCTAGACGTTCAACCCAAAACCCTCAAACCTTAAGCCCTAAACCCTTAAACCTTAAGCTCTAAACCCTAAACCCTTAAACCTTAAGCCCTAAACCCTAAACCCTAAAACCCTAAACCCTAAACTCTAAAACCCTAAACCTTAAGCCCTAAGCCCTTAAACCTTAAGCCCTAAACTCCAGACCCTTAAGCCCTAAACCCTAAGCCCTAAACCCTTAAACCTTACATTCAGGGTTCTAGGGTGGAGGTCCGGCCAGTGTGTGCGGCTTCCGCGGGCGACGACTGGGCCATGGACGTTCGCTGAGGCCGTAAGAGCCCCCAGTTAAGGGTTTAGGGTTTAGGGTTTAGGGTTTTAGGGTTCAAGGTTTAGGGTTTAGGGTTAATGCCTAAGTACCAATATGATAGTAGCTACTCAACAGACATTGGGGCCCCAAAAGTATATACCCTAAGCCCTGAACCCTAAACCCAAAATAATGTGTATAGTATTCCATTACTTGGACCCTTTGGGGCCTAAGAAATCTCGGGAATGGGGTCGGGTTTGGGCTTTCTCAGGGCTGCTTAGGGTTTATCGAGTTTGTAAGGGTTTAGGGTTTAGCGTTTAGGGTTTGATAGCGTTTGTGAGGGGTATCTGAAGCGTTATTTCCCTCTAAGGACGACATCTACCCTAAAAGGCTTTACGGTTCAGTTACCATAATAGGGATTCATCTTATAATGGTGTAGCGCCTCTACTTTTAAGGGTCCTTCAGCCCCCAAGGTTTTGAAGTGTTTAGCGTTTGTGCACACGTCTGAAGGTTTCATTCGTTGGCTGTAGGAGTTTGCATAGGGTTTTAAGGGTTTGGGGTTTGGTGTAACCCTAAACCCTAACCCTAGACCCTAAACCCTAAACCCTAGACCCTAAACCCTAAACCCTAAACCCTAAACCCTAAACCCTAAACCACTAAACTCTGAACCCTAAACCCTAAACTCTGAACCCTAAACCCTAAACTCTGAACCCTAAACCGTAGCCCCTAAACCCTAAACCCTGGGGATTTGGAGTCGGGTGTGCGTGGCGCAGGGTTTAGTCCGGAGGCACCGGTTCCTACGTCGACTGTGCGTGATGTAGGGTTTAGGGTTTAGGGTTTAGGGTTTAGGGTACTTCTGCGGACTATCTTGAGCCTATTAGGGTACTAGAATCCCCATATAATCCCAAAGGTTAAGGCTTAGTTCCCTTAGGAGGCTGGACAAGTAAGGCTTTTGCTAAGAGATGTGCCTGCTTCAGAAAGGAAGAGGCCCATATATGTATACATATATATATATATATTCTATAGTATATATATATATATATGTATATGTAATATTTATATCTAAGTAACTATATATATATATAGAGAGAGAGAGACACCGACATCTAAGCTCCGCAGGAAAACCATAAACCCCAAACCCTAAACATCATTAGGGTTCGGGGTTTAGGGTTCTCGACCGTAAGCTCCAATGGCCATAGCCTTACATGAAACCCTAACCCCTAAAAGAGTTCAACCCTGAACCGCGTAGACCTCGAACCATAATCCCTAGGCTGTGTAATTTAGGGGCCTTAATGACTGCCATTACTAGTTTGGGGGGCTCCTTCCTGTAGTTATAGTATAATATACCCCAAAACCCTTATTGAAATTATTAAGGCCCCTACATCAACCCTAAAAGGCCAAAGCCTAGACTAAATCCCTAAACCCTAAACCCTAGTAGACTCAGATTGGGCCCCAAAACACATTTCTAATCCCTAAATCCTAAACCATAAACCCTAAACCCTAGTAGACTCTCTAGACTCTGTATTCTCAATAGTCCGAAGCCTCAGACTCTAAGCCCCAACACCCTAAACCCTATCCTAATTTAGGGTTTAGGGTTTAGGGCCCTGAAAACTAAATCCTGAACCCTAAACCCTAAATTCTACACCCTGATCCCTGAACCCTAAACCCTCAACCTGAGAAACCGAAACCCTGAACCCTAAAATCCCTAAGCCCGAAACCCTGAACCCTGAACCCCAAACTCTGAGCCGTAAGCCTTCCGGTTGTGATTTGAGGGCTTAGGGCCTTGAGCTGCGGCTCCCTAAACCCTACCTGGGTTTAGGGTTGTAGAGTTTAGGGTTTAGGGTCTTACATTCAGGCTATAATGTAGGGTCATTAATGATTAGAATAGGATTTCATAGGGTTCCTTTACAGGGCTCCTCAAAGGGTTCTTTCCGGGCTACTATATGGGGTTTAGAGTGTAGGGGCGTTAATTAGAATAGGGTTTGGGCTATATTATACTATAGTTATAATAAGGAGTAACCAAAACCAGATTCTAATTATTAAGGCTTCTCTTGTAGGGCCCCTAGCTCCAAATATGCAGGCTTATAATAAGAAAGTAGGTTTGTAGGTTATAGTAACGTAGACCTTAAGTCGTTGAAGAAGATTGGCTCTGAAGATTGTCTGTCGCCACCTGGTGTCGCTAGCCTGGCCCATGGAGAGACTTCAAGGCCATGTCAATGTGGCTAACTGTCAAAGTCATGGTCCGTTTTGGGGAACCTTAAACGATTCTAAGCCCTACACTCTAAACCGTCGAAATCATGGTCCCCTTTGGGGAACCTTAAAGAGCATATACTCTCATTACGGCATCCTACAGTCTGGAACGCCAAAGGGACGCGAGTTTTGATAACAATCCATGTGGGTTGAAAAGCATAGACAGGCTGCGAAAGCTGAGTTCCAGACGTCGTTCATGGTAAAGAATCAGGGTGGGGGCTCTGCCTGTCTGTTCTTCCTGCAAATCACAACCCAGCAGGGTAATTATCAGGGGTACTTGATTAGACTCCCTATATCAATGAGTCCAACAATGGTTCCAATATTTAGGAGGTTCGAAAACGCCAGTATACTCTGGCAGCACGCACAACACACATATTGAGTTAGTTTCTGCATGTGTTGTTGGGTCGTCATGTCAAGCCACAAGTGCTGGCACCACGGTTCAGGGTTAGCTCCAAGTTACTTCGGATCAAGGCTACTTCAGACAGCAACGGTGAATCCTTCTTGTGTGCGTTTTGGACGGACCGTGGAGTCATCTGCAAGGTGGTCATGTCTATATAAAGCTTAAAGCTTAAACTTGGGTTATTTATGGGCTACTTTATCTAATGGCTACTTGAGAACAGTTTTGAAGTTTTGGCCTCAGGGGCGTGGTTACTTTGACTTTCCCGCCCTGAAGGTCAAAAGCTGTTGAGAGCGATGGCAGACGGAAGACGGCTCCAACAAACGATCGTGAACAAGGCCATCAGCCAGTGCCTTGGGACAAAAGGGTTTAGGGTTTTAGGGTTTAGGGTTTTAGGGTTTAGGGTTTAGGATTACTGTGGTGGGACTCAAGGACCCTAAAAAAGTAGCGGCCCTATAACCTCATGGTAAGAATCCTGATTATGGTGCTAGTAGTTGAGCCTTATCAGCCGTTTCACGTACACTTCGTCCATAAGCCCAGACTCCTTATAAACTCTTAAACAAAGCTTTTAAGGAACCCTAAACCCTAAACCCTGAACCCTTTTGGGGTACGTTTCGTCCTTGAGGTGTGGGAAGGCATCTGAGTGGCAGCTCGCCCTTGAACTCTTTAGAGGCATGCCAGATGCCAGTTCAGTGGCGGACGTGACTTGGTAGCTGAATGCGTTAGGGTTCATTAGGGTTTAGGGTTCGGGGGCTTGCATGTTCGAGATAACATGATCCATCCCCTGCTTATGAATTTTTGCAAGTTTGCGGGCTTATGAGCTCCCTAAACCCTAAACCCTAAACCCTAAACCCTAAACCCTAAACCCTAAACCCTAAACCCTAAACCCTAAACCCTAAACCCTAGCAGCAGCTAAGGTGATAAGTTACAGCGCAAGCATCAGTGCTTGTGCCAGAGGTGAGCAGTGGACCTCTGCCTTGCAGCTCCTCGAAGATTCTGGGTTGCTGTTTTAGGGTTTAGGATTTAGGGTTTAGGGTTTAGGATTTAGGGTTTAGGGGTTTAGGGGTTTAGGGTTTAGGGTTTAGTGTTTAGGGTTTTAAATACGAAAGTGATGTTACATTAATGGGGATGTATAGTAAATATATACGGTTTAGAGTTAAGGGTTTAGGATTTAGGGTTTGGGATGTATAGCAAATATTATGGCTTCCTTACTATACTTCTTTAACAGCACCCCCCAGGATATGCACCAGGAACGGGTTGAGGCCAACTTGATCACGTACAATGCCGCGATCAGTGCCTGCGAGCGTGGTGGACAGTGGCTGCTTGCGCTTGAACTGCTGTCCAAAATGCCGGTTGGGCGACTCGCTGCTGATGTCATCAGCTATGGTAGCTGCATCAGTGCCTGCGGACATGAAGGGCAGTGGCCAGTGGCACTGCAGCTTCTGTCGGAGATGCCGGCGAGGAAGATCAATCCAAATGTCATCACCTGCAGTGCTTGCATCAGTGCCTGTGAGAAGCACGGCCGTTGGCAAGAAGTATTGAAAGTGCTGTCGAAGATGCGCGTGGTCACAGTTAGAGCCAACACCATTACTTTGAATTCGGCGATCAGCGTGTGTGAAAAAGCTGCTTGGTTGATTGTGTTTATGAATTCAGTTTAATCTACCATAGCATGGAAGTCGTCTATTTACTAAAGATCCTGTCATGGCAACTTAAGTTAAGTTCCTCACCAAGAAACCAGGCCGGTCAGTGGTCCAGAGCTCTAGAGCTATTGTCGGAGATGCCCAGAGCCAAGCTGTCCAGGGACACGATTAGCTTCAATGCAAGCATCAGTGCCTGTGCTACCGCTTCGGAGTGGAGAATAGCGCTTGAGCTTCTTTTGGTGGGGATGCTAGGTCGGCCTCTGGGACAATTTCTTGTTTCTCTTACCCAAAGGCTCTAAGGACTCATAGTTTAAGGCTTTTGTGCCCAAAGACTATACCATATAAGGCTTTTGGGCTATTTTGAGCCTTAGGATTAATTATTGGGCCTAAGAGGATCTTGTTTACGAATATGTGTCAAAGGCTTCAAAGGGCCAGCCTAGGATGCCTGCCGCCAGCGTGGCATCGAACGTCATCAGCTATAACGCTGCCATCACAGCATGCGATCGAGCTGGGGCGTGGCAGATGGCGATGCAGCTTTTTACTGAGATGCCCATGATGCACGTCCGACCGGATGCCGTCAGCTTCAATTCTGTCCTAAGTGCATGCGAGGCTTGAACTCCGAAAAAGCTCAACAAAAACACCCTAAACTCCTAAACCCCCAGAATCGCCGAAATCTTAACATCCCCTCACCTCAAACCCTCAAAGCCTCAAAGACCCCCCAAGAAACCAGAATCCCCCAATTTGCCGCAAGAGGCAGGAGGATGCTGGCACCTAGCTCTGGCTCTTCTCGGCGACATGCCCTTTGTTGCGATCGAAGCGGATACGATTAGCTACAACTCCTGCATTCTTACCTGTGCCAGATCCTTAGATAGCCAATGGGAGAACCTTAAAGTTTTTGTGGCCTTTATATATTACTTATATATATATATATAATATTAGGTCTACCCTAGAAAGTTTGAACTTTTTTGGCCTGGTTGGTGAAGAAGAGAGGATCTGGGCAGTGGGAGTGGGGTCTTCATCTGCTTCTCCAGATGTCGGATGTCGGGTTGGGTGCTGATGTTATCAGCTACACCACAGCGATGAGTGGCTGTGATGCTGCGAGTGGCTGGGAGACGGCTCTTCGACTGTTCCAGCTTATGTTGGCAGCGAGGGTTGAAGCCAATGTGTTCAGTTTCAACACCTGCATCTCTTTATGTGCGACAGCTGGTCAGTGGTCTTTGGCCATCCAGCTATTATCTGAGATGGCTTCAGGGAGCATTCAGGCAGATGAGCTCAGTTTCAACGCGGCAATCAATGCTTCCGAGAAAGGCGCACGATGGGAGCTTGCACTGCTTGTGCTGTCGCAGATGGCGGCATCCGACATCGCCCCGGATGCTGTCAGTTTCTAGATCCCAGCAGAATCATTGTTCCCTTTTCTCCTTTTGGGTTCGCTTTTGCCATTTCTCCCAGTAGGCCCCTTTTTTTTCCATTTGGTGGTCTGTTGTTCCTTCTTTAAATTACCCAATACCAACACGGGAGCCTTTTTTTCGCAGGATACTGCGGATCCTTGAGGAATAGAGTGCGCTCGGGTTTTGCAGCCCTAAGCACTAAAACCTTAAACCCTAAACCCTGAAAGGCCACATAATGTAGGGGCCTAAATAATTCCCAGTACTATTTTTTGGGGCCTCCTTATTATAGTCAAGGTATATTGGGCCCCAAAACTCCATTCTAATTATCAAGGCCCCTACATTAGCCCGAAAAGGCCAAAGCCTAGACTCTAAATCCCGAAACCCTAAACCCTAGAGGACTCAGATTGGGCCCCAAAACCCTAAACCATAAACCCTAAACCCATTTCTAATTATTAAAGCCCCTACATTAGCCCCAATCCCTTAACTGCCATCTCCAACCCTCGACACTTCTGATCGTCAAGGGGTCACGAACCTGGGGATTTTGGGGTTTAGGGGTTTAGGGTTTAGGCTTTAAGGTTTTAGGGTTTAAGGTTTAGGGTTTTAAGGTTTAGGGTTTGGGATTTGGGGTTTAGGGTTTAAGGGGGATTCCTAGACTTAGGCTTCAATCCCTAAACCCTAAACCCTAAACCCTAAAACCCAGACTTAGGCTTCAATGCCTAAACCCTAACTAAACCCTAAGCCCTAGACTTAGGCTTCAATCCCTAAACCCTAACTAAACCCTAAACCCTAAACCCTAAACCCTAAACCCTGAACCCTGAACCCTAAACCCTGAACCCTAAACCCTAAGCCCCAGACTTAGGCTTCAATGCATGCATCAGCTTTTGTGCGAGAGCCGGGCGATGGCCACTTTCACTCTATCTACTCACAGAGATGCCTTCCCTCGCCATCCAGGTCCATTTGGGGTTTAGGGTTTAGGGGTTTAGGGTTTAGGGTTTAGGGTTTTGGGGTTTAGGGTTAAGGGTTTTGGGGTTTGTTTTTGTCGAGACCGATTTAAGTTTTAGTGGCTTAGGGGCTCAGGGTTTAGGTTCCAGACCGATCGTAACATGGGGACGACAGACGTTCGATAGGGGGGGCTGAGCATCTTCTGGTAGAAGGATCTGTATAAAACTAAATGAATACCAATCTCATTCCCTAAGGTTCCTGGTTGTGTTTTTAGTGCAATATATCCCCAAACCTGATATTCATTGAGGCCCGTATACCCTAAACCCTAAACCCTGTATTGAGACTGATGAGCCGGTATTACATGCATATCGCCATATCATATCGCAATTGTAGTATTCGTAGTCGGAGACTCGGCTTTACCCACGTGTGGAGGTTGGGCTCAGGCGTTTGTAAGGGAGGGTTTGCAAAGGGTAGTGCCGCCTAGCGTTTTGATGTATCGTGTGATGGTTGCCGTATGTTTTAGTATGTGTTAGTATTGTACTTGTCATAGCATTGTCGACAATCTGGTAAACTTAAAGTACCGTGTGTCAATATTAGAATAGATGAATGATGAGTGCGTTCCCTTCGATACAGGCGGATGCCTTCAGCTTCAGCGCAGGCCTGAATGCTTGCGCAGGGGCGGGGCAGTGGCTACTAGCACTTCAGCTTTTCTCTGAGATTCCTCGAGCAGATGTGCAAGTGGACACGATCAGCTTCAGTGCAGCCATCACCGCCGTCGAGAGGGCTTCGCATTGGCAGTGGGCAGTGCAACTGCTTTCGCAGCTCCTGCATCGCAGTCTGGGAACTCTTTAAACCTCCTTGTGCTCCTAGGTAGTGGTATTAGGGTGACCCCTTAAAGAGGACCTTTCTGAACCCTACTTAAGGCTCTCTTAAAAGGGACCTTATTGAGAGGGTCTATATCCCCAAGGGTCCCCCTAATCCTTACTCCTATGTACTTGCCCTAAGCCCCAGGGCCCGTGTGCCCACCTAAACGGGCCTTCGGGTTCAGGCTCCTTTTTGTGGTTTCCATACGGTTCAAAAACTTCCAATTGTGCAACTAAGTTCCAAGTGTGCAGCAATTATCTTGAATCGCCTTGCCTTACTTGGGGTTCAGGGTTTGGGGTTTAGGGTTTAGGGGTTTAATGTAGGAGCCTAAATAATTACTAATACTACTTTAGGGGCTCCTTATATAATTATATACTATAACGGAGCCCAAACCCTATTCCAATTATTATGGCCCCTATATTCGGGGTTTACTTAGAGGCCCAGGGAACTTAGCAAGTCGGTTATAAGTACGCTTACATTTGGGGGTAACTCCATTTAGGGTACCTATAACTCTACTGATAATCTACTTACTAAGTCCACTGGGCCTCCAAGTAGGAAGCCCGGGCCATCCCAGGCTACCTTCCAGCCAAGTCTCTGCAGATGTCGTTCTGCTCACTTCCTGTATCAGTGCCTGCCGACGGGGTGGCCAGTGGCTGCTTAACTTACCTAAAAGGTTTAGGCCCTAAGCCCTAAACCCTAAACTCTAAAGGGTGTAGGATTTAGTTTCATCTCTAAACCTTAAACCCCCAACCTGTGCTCCAAAGCCCCAAGAAAGTAGACTTGTTGATTTGATACGCCGCGTGTTGAATTGTTTCAGAAGTGTATGAGATAGTTAGACAGGCTGATGTTTAGGGCAACGGGTTGACACGCTTTTCTTGAGGGCTTTGGGGTTAGGGACCTTCTGCTAGGGTCTAGAGTTCACTAAGAGCCTAGATCCAAACTGTGTTGAATAAGAGCCTAGATCCCGTCATAGCAAAAGGCAATTGGGTTTTAGGGTTTAAGGAACAGTAACCCAGTATGCAGCAATCATCGGCCTCCACTGTTCCATAGGCCTCCTGAGTCTTCGTTGGAGTTAAAGTTAACCTTAACCCGAAACCCGAAACTACAAACCCGCAAAGCCGAGTTTATGTAATTATTCATGGCCTCAGCCGTGAAACTCCTTCGGACACCTCAGCGAGACGTTTAGACTTTACCCGTAGGGTCCAAAGGACCCAATAAGTAGATACTAGGGTTTACAGTTATCCAGGTTCGCCTTTGGGAGAATATAGAGTACATGACGATTGGGCACTTGGACCCTTACCCAGAGGCTCCACACATGCTACCGTCATGGAATTAGGTCCCAACAGACCATCCTTAGGTATGGTTTCAGGGACCTAATTCCATCATGGTAGTAAAGGTGGAGCTTCTGGGTTAGGGCTACATAACAGCATTCAGCCTGCTTTGTCCATGGATGCTTTGCAGCGACGGGGCTCTTGTGTTTTGGAGTTCCTTGGCTTTACAGATAGATAAAGATTTGCGTTGTGTGTGTGCATATATGAATATGTGTGTGTGTGTGTATGGGTATATATATATATATACATGTGTGTGATCATTCCGACATACATATTGGTGTATATGTGCAGAAAGTGGTTTGGTCACTTAGTGCACAGCATATCTTTTTAGTAGTCCGTATACGTACACACTACTGTTCATGCACAATGTCATAATGACAACAGAAACATGTGCATTCAGCACATCAATACTATATATATATATATATATATTTACTATACGCATACATGCATACGTGTGTATTTGATGTTGGTTTTCTTGTTTAATGGTTTTCTATGTTGCTTTCACGTTGTTTTTGGTTTTATTCGTTTATTCGTATATGTATTTTCTGTAAATATGGAAGTTGTAGAGTACATGTATCTGTAAAATGCTGTTTAGGGGTTATGCCTATTTAAATTCAACGGTACACTAGATACAGGAGGAAGTCCCCCAACCACAACGCCCTCCCCACAGTTCAGACAACAGGCCCAACCAGTTTCCTTTACTAGGCTCTATAGGAGGCTTTAGGACCCTGAACTCAACACCCGAAACCCGAAACCCTAAACCCCTTCTATCGGGGCCTAAATAATTACCTTACTATTTTGGAGGTTCCTTATTACAAGGATAGAATAATGTACCCCTAAAGCCCTATTCTAATTATATTAAGCCCCAACATTAAATCCTACACCCGAAACCCTGAGCCGAACCCAACAGGAGCTCCAAAAGAGCCACAGTCAAGGTTTAGGGTTTAGGGTTTAGGGTTTAGGGTTTAGGGTTTGAGGCAACAGGCTCTGCTGCTTCTGCGGGAGATGCCAGCTGCGCGCGTCTCCCCCAACTTGCCGAGCTCCGGCCGCCAGTTGAGGGTTCAGGGCTTTAGGGATTAGGGATTATAGGGTTTAGGGTTTAGGGATTAGGGATTAGGGATTAGGGATTATAGGGCTTTGGGTTTAGGGTTATCTCTCGAAAACCCTCGTTAGAGGATGTCGAGGACTCTACATATGGGTCTGAGGCTATTATTCCACAAGAGTGGTTGCCGTTTGTTTCGAACGGGCTCTGTTTGGAACCCAAAATGGCTCATGATAGAGGGGACTGTGGCAAGCAGACCCTAAACCCCCATACCCCAAACCCTATACCCTAAACCCGAAATTCGAAACCTTAAACCTTAAACCCTAAACCCTATACCCTAAGCTCTAAGCCCTATATATTATATGCCCTAAACCCGAAACCACGGGGTATGGACCTCAATCTTCAGATCTTCGAGTGTAGTGTGTTGAGTTTGCAGGCAATGGGTTGAGGTTCTTACCGAAGATCCAAAAAGCAGATGGGAGTTTCCGAAAATAGGGGGGTACCTTATTGGGGGTCCTTATAATATGGATCCTACTATTTCGGGTACTATATTAGGGTCCCCTATGTTCGGAAACCCCCAGACCCCTTAATCGGGAGTTTAGGGTTTTAGGGCTTCAGGGTTCCTTTTCTACAGATTAGTTTGGCACTTGCTGGTATGGGGTTCCAAATTGGAGGATCTACTTTCTAGATCCTCCCGTGGGCTTTGGGATCCGGTTTGTAAGGGCATGCTTCAGGGTTTGGGTTTTTGGTTGAGGGCTTGGGGCTCACTTTATGGTTCTTAGGTCTTAGGTCTTAGGGTGTAAGGAGTTGCAGGCGTCGTATTCGACCGTCGTGTGGGTTCAGAAGCCAAGGGTTTGAAGTCCGTGGCGGAAATCTGGGTAATTCAGGGGCTTTAATAATTACCTATATTGTTTCGGGTGCTCCTTATAATTCTACTATAAAGGACCCCCCAAACCTGGTTCTAATTACTAAGGCCCTACACCCGAAACCCTTATAGTATCCCTTATGTAACCCTTCTAAGGGACCCTTTAAAGGAACCCTGTTCTAACTATTCAGGCCTCTACCTTCAGAACCCAAAACCCACTTTTTTGTAGGTTCTGATTATAAACCCGAATATGGGATTTATAGGGACCCTACAAAAAAGTAGGTTTTGGGTTCTTAAGGTACACCCGAAACCCTTATAGTAGCCCTTATGTAACCCTTGTAAGGAACCCTTTAAAGGAACCTAAACCCTAAACC